GAGGGAAGGTGTGCTGAGCAGGGAGCAGATGCAGAATAGGACAGAGTTGGGACAGAGCACACTCAGGAGGATGGCAAGGGAGCCGGGCAGCCCCACTGCCCCTTGTCCTGGTTACTTGGGGGACCTGGGAACAGATGTCCAGGTCTCAGTGCTGAGGGCTGTGTGTGTTCAGAACTGAGCATGGGCCACGATTCTCGATTGTTCATTTAGGAGTTACTTGTGGGGGTCTAATATGTTCCAGCCATTGTGCCCATGTTTGGGGACACATGGGGGGGACATCAGACCATTGAGTGCTCTCAGAACCTGTTGAGCTCTGCAGAGGGAACAGGACAGCTTCCTATATTCTACACTGAATCCTGAGTTGGATGGTGGAAGACAGCACAGCCCTCAGGGAGACTGGGAGACAATTTTGTGCCCTATCTGATGTCCAAGAGGGGATGAATATGGCTGAACTCTCCATCTGATTGACCCAGCAGAACCTCAATGCTTGAGAATAGACACCAAGGACTAAAGTTCCAGCCCCTGCCACTCCCACCCCATTCTTAACCCCAGCCTGTGGTAGCTCATTAGCAAAGATGACTGTATTAGTCCCCTCCTGTGCTCTTACCCTTTGTGATGTGACTTTGTCATTCCTCCCATCAGTAGGTGGAGGCCATTCCCCACCTCTTGAATCTGGGCTGGTGTATTAGTCAGGGTTCTATGGGGAAGCAGAAAAAACAGGATGTATATATAGAGAGGGTGATTTATTTTAAGAAATTAGCTCATGTAATCATGGAGGCTTGGCAAATCCAAAATTTGTAGCATAGGCCTGCGGGCTGGAGACCCATTCTCCCATTCTGATGGAGTGTTCCCTCTCACTTAGGCTTTCCAATGACCAAATGAGGCCTAGCCACATTATAGAGGGTCATATGCTTTATTCCAAGTCCCCTGATTTAACTGTTAACCTTATCCAAAAGATACCTTCATAGAAATATCCAGAATAATATTTGACCAAATACCTGGGCACTGTGGCCCAGCTAAGTTGACACAAAATTAACGGCTGGCCTGTCACTCTTTGGGCCATAAAATGTGGTGAAAGTGAAGTTGTGAGCCCTGAGCCTACCCCCCAAGAGGACATGCTCAACTCCACTCACTTTCTTGAAATTCTGTCCAGACACCATGTGGGCAATCTTGGGACAGAGATGAGATGTGCCAGCTAACTCTAGTCCCAGCCAAACTGGCAGCTGACTGCATGTACACAAGAGAGCTCCATGAGATAGAATTTCCCAGCAGAGCCCAGTTACATAGTTTTTGTTTTAAGCCACTAAATTATGGCAGGGTTTGTTATACAGCAAAGGCTAACTGATGCACAGTCCGACTTCTCCAGTGCACCCTGGATAGGTATCCTATTAGCTGCCACCTCAGCTGTTGGAGAAGACACAGGCAGAGGGAAAAGAAGACAATTTCAGGTTATCACAGTGGGTTCATGGCATGCGTATAGACACTCTTCTACCCTGGTATTTAAATATAGCTCTGCCCAAGCATGCTCTGGCCAGGTGGTCTCCTTCAATAATAAGCCAGAACAGAGGGAAGCTGATGGCTGGCAACCAGGAAGGCTGCATTCTGGGGGTGGAGGGAAGCCAAGGTTGGCCTGGGGGAGTTTTAGGGATAGATCATAGGATGGAAGACAGAAAAATAACTTGGGAGCCGACAAACCTGGGTTGACTTCTGGTTCTGTTGCTCATTGGGTCTGTATCCTGGGACAAATAACCTCACGGTTCAGAGCCTCAGTTTTTCCAGGGGCAGAATTAAGTATTGTGGAGCCCGGAGCTGATTCAATTTGGGAAACCTCTTCAAGCAGAAGAATAAAAATTATGATCACAAAATTGCGGGGCTTTGGAAGGGACCCTTGTAAGTGAGATTAAGCTTCATTAGCTTTAGCAGTAAATTGCTTCTGGCTTTCTCATTGGAAAAAAAATGGGAGTGAGAATACTGAAGGAGCAGTTGTTTGGAAGGTCAAATGAATGCACAGGGGTGGAGGTCCTGTGTCTGGGATCTGGCAGGAAGGCAGCTTTGCAGGCGGGAAAGGGCTCATGTGGCAGCTGGTGGGTGGGCTTCTGAGGGAGATGGGGTGGAACAAGTAGGAGTACTGGGGACAAAGACAGTGGGGTGTCTGTGCTCCTACCTGCCCCTGGGACTTGCAGGGAGAGGTTGTAAACAGAAGCAGGAGCTGGTTACATGAGGGTCTTTGTGAGGTTCTGGGGCTGAAGCAAGATTGTGATGGGGTTCTGGACAGAAATTGAGAAAATAGTTATGTTTTCTTCCCCAGAGTGAGAGGCTGAAATGAGGACTCTTGAGCAAGTGATTTATTGAGTGTGTGACTTAGAGATGCAGGAGACTGAGGGAGAGAAGCAGGCCAGGGCAGGGGATAGGCTGAGTGAGGACAGGGGCCCAGCTGGGCTGTAATTTCAGCCTGAACCACAGGAACTCGGGTATAGATGGACCACAGAGCTGCCCCACTCCGTAGTGAGCAGGGCAGGCTTTTGCACCTCTGTGTCAGTTAGTCCTTGGGAGGAGAGAAGGGAATGTAACCTCCCAGAGCCACTCATTAGCCAAGGGCAGGTCTGAGAAGGGAGCAGCGCTTACAGAAGCTCTTGGGTGGGTACATGGCCCAGCAGAGGGGATCTGGACAGAGCAAGGCAACAGCAGAATCCACTGTAAGAGTCTTTCCCCTATTTTTGTGTGATACACAGTTCTACTATGTAGGATTGTTAACTTGTGGAGTATAAGGGGATGAATGGATGGAATTTGGGGGGGACCATAGTGCTGGTCTTCAGGGCAGGGGCAGTGGTGAGGTGCTGCCCCCAAGTGGCTTTCAAGGACTTGACTTTCTAGGAGGATCTTTTGTAGCTGCAAAAGAGGGGCGGTGCAGAGAAATGAGGGGCCCGCTAGACTGAGCATAGGGTGAGCAGCCCTGGTGTGCAGTGTGGCTTGGTGCCACACTGGGAGGGTCTCATTAACCTTGATGATGAGGTCTTCATTTTTATATACCCTTAATACAAGGGGCCAGGACCCTGGAGGCAGCCTCTGATTTGTCTTTTCCTCATCCTGAATTCTCCCTGGCAGGGCAGGCAGTGTGTGAGGGGTCGCCTCTGTGCCACAAGCTCAGGGCAATGCCAGTTGCCAAAATGTGGTCACATGAGGCTTTTCCTGCCTTCCAGGTCAGGGAGCAGGACTCACCCTCCTTTGTTAGGTGCTTTATAAAGGGGTCACTCCTTAGGTGTAAAACGGCATCATTATACTTAAGCTATGGATATTTTTATTTTATATTTTCTTTATTTGTAATTGTGCTAAGTATTATTTTGCCACTTACCGTGTTACTCTGTGGAAAGAAAAACCTGTAAAGTGTTTAATAAATTAGCTCTCCTTACATAAATTAAATCTGTCAAAATTTTGTAAAATATTAATCAGAATAAATACCAACTCTTAAAAAAATAAATGGGTCACTCCAACTGAGCTTGCAGGGAGTTTTAAGGGCTGGTCTCCTCCCCAAGGAGATGGGCTCTGGGTTAAGCATTAAGGCCTTCAGATCCCAATCCTTCTCATACCACATCCGATCAGCTGCAAGTGTGGGAGGCTACTGTGGGTAGGAATGTACCCCCTTCCCATCTCTCTGGGCTGTGCAGGGAAGCAAAGGATATCTTCCAGTCCTGGAAGGCTACCTATGCTTCTATAAAGGAATTTGGGATCCTCAGTAAATGGGTTTGGAATGAATACAGAAACCTAGGCCCCTTTTTTTTCATTACCAAAGCCCACCTTTCTTGGTCAGACAGAAGAAGAAATGGGAATGGTATGCGAAAGGGAGACAGTGGCCCTTTAAAAGGGAAGCCAGGGTTTGCAGTGCAGCGCAAACTGCATGCAAATGGATCTGCAGAAGCAGACTTGGGACCTGGGGGCAACCGACTTGGATGAACCAAAGGGTTTTTGTGCCAGTTTGCCCAGCCCTGAATCATGGTTCTCTGCTGGATATGAGAAGAGGTGCTACAGCTCTAGAATTTCTATAAAGGAGGAGCTGGGGTAGGGGCACAATCTGGCTGGGAAGGTGGGAGGCTCTGAGAGTCACTAACTGCTTGGAAGCCACATACTTTTTGTTGATTGTACGTGTTTTGGAGGATGGTGTTGACTCTCAGTTTTGTCTCTCATCCCTTAATGTGACAGTGGAATCCTTCTTTCTGACTCAATCATCTGTTTTGAAATGTATTTATTTATTTATTTATTATCTATCAGCCTTTGAATTAGGTTCTTTTAAATAATTTTTTTTTTTTTTTTGAGACAGAATCTCACTATGTTGCCCTAGGTACATAGGACGTCACAGCTCACAGCAATCTCAAACTCTTGGGCTTAAGCGATTCTCTTGCCTCAGCTCCCTAGTAGCTGGGACTACAGGCACCCGCCATAACACCTGGCTAGTTTTTGTTGCAATCGTCATTGTTGGTTAGCTGGCCCGGGCTGGGTTCAAACCCGCCACCCTCAGTGTATATGGCTGGTACCATAACCACTGTGCTACAGACGCCGAGCCCCTTTCTTTTTTTTCTTTTCTTTCTCCCTCCCTCCCTCCTTCCCTCCCTCCCTTCCTTCCTTCCTTCCTTCCTTTCTTTCTTTCCTTCTTTCTTTCTACTGGAAAAAGAGAGCTCAACATTCTTCTTAATGAGGCCAGTGTCAATAGGACACAGATGATTGTGCTTACAGTACACTCCAAAACATATCAGTTTGTGCTGGGTAAGAGCCTTGTAACTCTCAAAGCCAGATTCATTGGCATTGAAGATGGACAGCTTCTCATTTGTCAACATCTGTGGCTCATCCACTGTGTTGGGGGGTGCTGCCCATACTTGAGGTCTGGGTCATCCAGGTACTATCTGCACTGGATGCCCTTGGGAGGGTGGGTCTGTGGGTGCATGAACAGGCAGTGCTTTAGGAAAGCAGCCCCAAGCAGGAGCCCTGGCAGCACCACCACTTGTTTAAAAATAATAGAACACTTCACAAATTTGCATGTCATCCTTGTGTCGGGGCCACGCTCATCTTCTCTGTAGTGTTTCAATCTTAGTATATGTGCTGCCAAAGCAAGCATCCTGGCTAATTTTTTCTAATTTTAGTAAACACTGGGGTAGTGTCTTGCTCTTGCTCAGGCTGATCTTAAGCTCCTGATCTCAAGTGTTCCCCACCCCGCCTTGGCCTCCCAGAGTGCTATGTCTGTTTGGAAATTTTGTAAACCCTCCTCCTTTCTTGTTTCTTTACCACCTGGCTTCAACTGTTCTTTTTATGTTCCATAGATTTTGACATACTTCCCATGTACGTACTTGTCCTAAGTTTATTCCAGTCACCAAGGAAAACCCCTTCCTGGAGCTCCAGACTCAAGTAGCCGAGAGTTTCCTAAGTAGCTACCCTGAGTGTCTCTCAGGGACCTCAAGAGGAGCAGATCTGAGATGAAACTCACAGGTCTCCAAAACCCAGTTCTTACCAGTATCTTCCAGCGCAGTAAAATGGTGACCCAAGACAGAAGGCTGAGGTCAGTCTGGACTCCTCCCCTATTCTCGTGCTCCCTATGCAATCTGTCTCTAAGTCTTGAGTCCTCTTGTCTCAAAGCTCTTGTCTGACACCTTGATCATTTCAATGGTCCTTAACTGGTGGTCTCCCTGCTCCCTCTTTTTCTACCCTCCCACTACTCTGTCCTCAAATCCTCCAATCTGCACTCAGAAGTGACAATTTAGCTGTGTGACACTGGGAAATTTGCTGCCCCCTCTGAGTTTCCCTCAGTCCCCCATTAGTCAAAGTAGATCTACAGACTTGCCAAGGATCAGCACAGATCAGTTTCTGGGGTATCATGAGCTAGCTGTGTTCTGGATAGAAGAAAACCCTGTGATGGGGTGTGGGACCCCTCTAGGGGAGCAGTCTCATCAGTCTTGCTCCTCCCTAGAGACTACAGCTTCTAGGCCTCCACAGCCTGCTGTCACCAAGAAGGAAGAAATATCTGCAAGCCACAGCTGAAACTCATGTCTTTCCTGGTGCTTCTCCCCTTCTCCCCACATGAATTCCAATTTATTGATTTTGTGGATTATGATTTTGTTGTCATGTTTGAGAACTTTTTACTAAGCCCTTGGTCCTGATGAGTTTTTCCTTTATTTTCTTCTAAGCATTCTATAGTTTTATGTTTTACTTTTAAGCCTATGATCCACTTTAAGTTACTTTTTGTATAAAGTGTGGGGTGTAGGTCTAGATTCATATTTTTGCCTGTGGATATCCAATCACCCCAGCACCATTTTCTGGAAAGACTACGCTTTCTCCATTGAATAGTTTTTGCATCTTGGTCAGAGATTAGTTGGCTGTGCTTGTATGGGGTTATTTGAAATATTTTTTTGGCTGGGGTGGGTTTGAACCTGCCACCTCCGGTATATGGGGCAAGTGCCCTTACTCCTTGAGCCACAGGTGCCACCCTTAAAATTTTTTTTTGCAAGTGTGGTGGCATCATAGTTCACAGCAAGCTCAAACTCTTGGGGCTCAAGTGATCCTCTTGCCTCAGCATCCCAAGCAGCTGGGACTATAGGTGCCCACCACAACACCTGGCTAGTTTTTCTACTTTTAGTAGAGACAGGGTCTTGCTCTTATTCAGGCTGGTCTTGAACTCTTGAGCTCAAGCAATCCACCTGCCTTGGCTCCCAGAGTGCTAGGATTACAGGCGTGAGCCACCACAACTGGCCTGTATGGGGTTATTTATGAGTTTTTAAATCTGTTCCACTGATCTATGTGTGCATCCCTTCACCAATAACACACTATTTTGATTATTGTGACTATATAGTAGGCCTTAATATCAAGTAGAGTGAGCCAGGCACAGTGGCTCACATCTGTAATCCTAGCACTTTAGAAGGCTGGATTGTTTGAGCTCAGGAGTTCAAGATCAGCCTAAGCAAGAGAAAGACCCCCATCTCTACTAAAAATAGAAAAAAAAATAGCTGGGCGCCATGGCAGGTGTCTATAGTCTCAGTTACTGGGGAGGCTGAGGCAAGAGGATTGCTTAAGCCCAGGAATTTGAGGTTGCTGTGAGCTATGACACCATGGCACTTTACCCAGGGCACAGTAAGACTGTCTCAAAAAGAAAAAACAAACAAACAAACAAGTAGAGTGATCCTCTCATTACTCCTTTTCAAAATTGTTAGATCCTTTCTATACAACATTTATTTCTTTATTGACACGATCTCTGTCACCAGGCTGGAGTGCAGCACCAGCATCACAGCTCACTGCAACCTTGAGTTGCATGACAGTTTCACTCAGTCACTCAGAATGTTCTGGGTAATCATGGGCAACTGTGGGTGGTTGGAAGGCACCTTCTTTTCAGAGAATAAAAGCTCCAGGAGGGCAGGAGTCTTTGATTTGTTCACTGAAGAATTCCAAGTGCCCAATCTAATAGGGTGCTTGGTGATTAAACGTAGAGGTCCAATGGACTGGAGGGGCATTCTGAGACCAAGGTCAGTTTATTATCAGCAAAGGCTCTCATTTTTGGGTACTAAAACCTGGTTGGAGTAGTTAGGGGTCCCCCCTTGGGGCAAAGGTTTGTTGAAAGGCATTGTACTCGTCAACCTGAGGACCCCTCACAGGGCTAGGGGGCAGCCCCTGGCTAAGACTTTTTTTTTGCAGTTTTTGGCCTGGGCTGGGTTTGAACCTGCACCTCCAGCATATGGGGCCGGTGCCCTACTCCTTTGAGCCACAGGCACTGCCCCACCCCACTCCACCCCACACCTGCCTGCTGAGACTTTTAAAGTGAGTCTTAGCCAGCCAGAGCCTGGTTTTCTTTCCTCTAAGAAAAGAAGAGTGGCCCAGGAGTCGTGGCTCATGGTTGAAATCCTAACATTCTGGGAGGCCAAGGCAGGTGGATTGCTTGAGCTTAGGAATTGGAGACCAGCCAGAGCCAGAGGCAGACTGTCTCTACTGAAATAGAAAAACTAGCTGGGCGTTATGGTGGGCGCCTGTAGTACCAGCTACTTGTGAGGCTGAGGCAGGAGGATGTGAGCTATGAGCGCTACAAAACTCTACCCAGGGCAACAGAGTGAGATCCTTACTCAAAAAAAAAAAAAAAAAAAAAAAAAAGTGCGGTGGAGGTCCTGGCTACCGGCTGCCGGCTGTGGGCTCCTAGCTGCCTCCTGGTGGTCAGTTGTAGTCACTGCCAACTCTCGGACATGGCATCCTCCCAGCCTCAGACAGGTAGTAAAGGCATCCTAATTTAGGGCCCCTCCGCCCCCGGGCCCCAAATGGCTCACCAGCCCAAAGGGCTCACCGGCTCTTTCTGCTTTGCTCTTGCCCTCCTCTTCACCAAAGAAGACCTCCAGGGAGTGCCTGGACTGTATCTTTTTTGGCATTTGTAAAGATTCTGCCAGATCCCTAGCCCCTGTTCTCTAAGGCCATTTTTGTATGTGCAGGGTGGATCCAAGAGTAGCAAGTCATGGGATAACCTCCCTCAGGCCCCTTTGGTCTGACTTTGCTCTTTCACCTCCTCCACCCACACATTCTTTGCCAGCCTGTAGCTCCCATCATGGGGACTCCCCTAACCCCTCTCCCTGTTCTATGCATGCCTTCACCTGACTCTCACAACTGCCCATGTGGGGTTCCAGGCAGGCCTCTGTGTGTCAGGGAGCCTCTGGGGTGACCGCACTGCTGCCTCTCTCTCTTCCCAAGGCTCTTACCTCTCAGGAAGGGTTCCTCAGAACAATTATTTAGATAGTACCTCTCAGGTCTGGTGCCAGCCTGTGCCCCTGGGCAGTTATCATGGACAGACAGGGCACAGGCTCTGGCCACAGGCTTCCCCCATTCTGGATCAGTTATGGGAATTCATCTGTCAGCACGATCTTTCATGGTCTGACAGAGAGCCCATGACATGCTGTGCATGGCATGGGGGCATGGGGCAGGTGGGGTGGATGTGGGTGGGGAGATAGCTCCTTTCATCCCAGGCAGGAGGCATGTTCCCAGGTTACTAGGTGATAGGGTCAGGTCACAGAACAGTCTTATGGGTTTTGTCTGCAGCACCTTTGTAATCCCCAGGAAAGAAGACACAGGGGGGCCTCTCTCCAGCTCTTGAGGGAGTCTTCCTCCCTTTTCTCCTCCCCTCTTCCTTCCTTCTCTGTATCCCATCTTGTTTGGTTTCTGTAGTTATAAAAGCATACCACAGACTGTTTAAATTATGAAAAAAATTATTAGGTTCATGATTCCAGAAGCTGGGAAGTCCAAGAGCATGGTGCCTGCATCTGATGTGGTCTTTGTGCTACTATCCCGTGGTGGAAGGCAGAATCAGCTGAATTCATTCTTCTATCAGGAAACTACTCCCAAGATAATGAACTCCTGTGATAACAGCATTACTCCAGCACAAGGGTGGGGCCCTGATGACCTAATTACCTCTTACAGGCCTCACCACTCACCACTGCTATAATGCCAATTAAATTTCAACATGAATTTTGGAGAGAATAGTCAAATCACAGCATGTCCCCAGCTGATCCATACAAATGCTCTGTAGAGCATCTGTCCCTTGTTTTGGCCCTGGGAGAGAGTAGTTTACAAAAGAAAGAGAAAATTCAGTATTTCACCCTTACCTGTGGTTTTGCTTTCTATGGTTTCTGTTATCTGCGGTCAACTGCAGTTTGAAAATATTAAATGGAAAACTCCAGAAATAAACAATTAAGTTTTACATTATGTGCCAGTCTAAGCAGCATGAATCACCCCTTTGTCTAGCATATCCATGCTGTATATGCTACCTGCCAGTTAGTCACTTAGTAGCTGTCTCTGTTATCAGATCAACAGTCATAGTATCACAGAACTTGCGTTCAAGGCACCCTTATTTTACTTAAAAATGGCCCCGAAGTGCAAAAGTGGTGATGGTGACATATTATTATAATTGTCCTATTTTATTATTATTGCTAATCTCTTACTGTGCCTAATTTGTAAATAAACCTTTTTCATAGGTATGTATGTATAAGAAAAAATATAGTGTATGAAAGGTATATATAAGGTTAGGTATCATCTGCAGTTTCAGGCAGTATCTGGAGGTCTTGGAGCATATACTCTACCTAGATAAGGGGGGACTA